GAGAGAGAAGAAGAAGAGAAGAGAGAGAGAGAGAGAGAGAGAGAGAGAGAGAGAGGGAGAGAGAAAGAGAGAAGAGAAATTTGCAAAGATGATTTAATAGAATGTTCAATTTTCTCGTCTATTCTATTACTGTTCCCATTATCAGTAACATTGATGAATGAAATGTATTTATCAAATGGTTATCATTTGTAATGATATCGTCAACACAACTCATACAACTAACGCTCATGAATTGTTCAAATTTTTTAAATTATTTCACTCTTTGATGGATTGGTTTGAATTTAATTTTCTTTTACTTTTATATTATTATTGTATGATTATAAATAATAATTAATTAGTATATGTATAATTAGTTACTACATGATTATAAATAGTAATTAATTAGTATATGTATTATTAATTAGTTACTACATAATTATAAAAAATAATTAATTAGTATATGTATCATTAATTAGTTACTACATAATTATAAATAATAATTAATTAGTGTATGTGTAATTAGATACGTCATAATTATAAAGTAATTAATTAGTGTATGTGTAATTAGATACTACATAACTGTATATAACAATTAATCAAATTTTTAAAATTATTTCACTCTTCGATGATTGGTTTGAATTTAATTTTCTCTAACTTTTGTATTATTATTACTACGTGATTATAAATAATAATTAATTAGTATATGTATAATTAGTTACTGCATAACTATAAATAATAATTAATTAGTATATTTATAATTAGATACTACATAATAATAATTAGATACTACATAACTGTATATAACAATTAATCAAATGAAATTGGAAAATTTTTATTTTTAATAATTTGTAATTTTGAATTTTTGAAAAAATATAACAATTAATTAATATATGTATAATTAGAAAAATGATAAAAAATTTTATTTTAACAAATCTTTTTTTCTTTACGTAGTATATATACAGAATATATTTCTATATTTGCATGTATATTATAGGTTTTATTTTGTAAATAATATTAATATTTGATATAATTTTTTCAAGATATTCATCATATATCAAATTTAT